CGTTCACGTGCAGCCGCACAGCGACTGCTCCAGACATGCATGTGAGACATACATGAGGTTATCATGGACTCATGACTTCACATGTGTCAGTCTGGACCAGTTTTCTTCCTCCTCACTCTGCCCACACTGAGGTGGAACTCCCGACGTCTTCCCGGCTCATATCGGGCTCCTATCAGAGGGTAATTGGCAGCAGAATGAAAGCCTAAAGAGTCTCGCAGGTCTGTTTTGTTTACCGAGAAATAAAACTGGCATCCTTGAGAAGCCTCGCTGCTTTATCGCTCCGTCTCTGTGAAGCAACTGCAGTATGCTAATCCTTGAAGACTTCAGCTCCCACCTGCCAGCCCTCATTATTTTCATGCTATTTTTGAGATAAACAATGTAGAGTAGCTCGGCGCCGCTGAGATTTCCCTCCATCATGCAGTAATGAAGATGGAGACGGCAAACAGGCCCACAGGCAAAGCCAACAGACTTCATCAAATATTTGCTCCTACCAAGGTCACTTCTCTCTGACATTCTGACGCACTGATTACACGACTGCTTTAAAAATGAAAACAAACTTTTTCCAGCAGAACAACGTTTCCTCCAGCAGCGCGTGGCTCTAACAGGGAACGTTAATATGTCACATCCAGCACAGCATCTACATGAACCGTTTTTTTTTAGGGGAGAATCATTTTAAAAAATGTGAGACATGATAGAGTTTCATGCCAAATGAGAGACGGAGCTGAGTCGCTGTTTCCAAGACAAGAAACAAACTCAGCGAAAAGTTCTGCCAAAATATGACACTTAGAAATATTGTGTTTTAATTCTTTGTTTTTGTTTTTCTCATTTCTGTTTGAAGGCTCTTTTATTTCCACGACGAATGTCTCAGACACTGGAAGGCGGGACGCTGCAGTTCATGACTCGTGCTGGATTCTTTGCTTCAGTAAAAGTTCCTGTGCAGCAGTTAAACAGTAAAACTACTGCATGAAAAATAGGAAAGTGTAGTCAGAGTGTTAAAGCTGAAGTCCTGATGTGATGTTAGACGGTTAACAGTGAAGCATCAGTGTTTATATCCACAAAGAGCAGATCAATCTGAAAACATGATGAAAGGAAGGAAAGAAGAAAAATCCACCAATCTACTGTCAGCTTTTCTCTAATCTTTGATTTTGCAGAGATGTCGGATCATCGGAACATTTATTGATACCAAACAGACGTCTAAAGGGGAAAATGACTCCACAGGACAACTGGAACCCACTGATTTCATCTGTAACTGTGTGCTGTGTTTAAAAAGCTTTTTATATCAGCCATTTCTGTCCAAAGCTGTCAGATGAACGTCGTGGGGTAGAAAGTACAGCATCTTCCTCTAAGATGTGATGAAGTAGTCGAGTATTTTCAGATCAGCTGAGTAAATGTAATCAGTTACTTTCCATCTCGGCTCCGATTCTGACTCCAAACAAAAGGATTGATCTCAACTCATTAAACTCAAATCATGTTTAAATTGATGGAATTTAGTTCAGTTCAGTTTGTCTGCAGCTTCAAAGAGCTCTCGAGTCTCACCGACGATCACGATGATCAACGATCTGCTCAAATGATCTGATTATTGGTAACGAAGGGCCTGATGAGTCAACGTGACGACGAGCAGCAGCAGAGCGACTTCAAACTGTCAGCAATGTACAGAAGGATTAAAACAAACTCACTCACACTGTCGGCATGTTTTACAGTAAAGTATAAAAATACTAAAGATTTACCACCAAACAACTCACACAGTCATCTGTTGTACTTCTGACACATTCATGTGTTCATCTCTCTGAAAGTAAAGCTGCTTTAGTGACTTTATTAAGCGCTCAGTAGTTTGTAAATGAGGATCAATAAAGTTTCATGTTAATCAATAATGAACCACGACTTGTTCTGGGTTTTATTAACCTAAAGATGCAGGTAAAAGTACAACATTGTCCCTAAAATGTAGGAAATTATGGGTTTAAAGGAGCAGAAAAATGGAAATACTTAGAACTGTGCTCAAGCGCAGTAGTCGAGTAAATGTAATTAGTTACTCTCCACTACTATGAATGGAGTTCAGACTCTGTGCAGCTGAAGTGTCAAATGATCTGTGGTCAGTGCTGAGGATGATGCTGGATATAATCCTACAGTACAGTCAGCTGAGCTAATTACTCCTGATCAATGCTTACAGACTTACTGGGAAAATGTGAAGAGCAGAAATGGAGGAAGAACCTCCTTGTTGTGCTTCAGTAGAAGCACCATGACGTAGAAACAAGGAGAACTCTGCACAAGTACGAGCACGGTGGGAAAGCAGTGAGTCTGCAGGACGACTCGTGTCAGAAGAAACCTGAAGATAGTTACTGACGTGTTCATCACGTCAAGGCTGCAGCTCGTTTCTACTGCAAAGCTACAAACAATAAAGGTTTATCATCATAATTTAATTACTGATTAAGTTTTGTTTTATTGATCAGTAAAGTGAACAAACTAGTCGTGGAGTAAAAGGTGCAGCTCTGCAGAAGCATAAATTCACAATAAAGCAAAATAAAAGAACACTTAAATTGCACGTCGGCATTCATCTGGAGTAAATGAACTCATGAAGTTTCTGTTAAAGCCTTTAGTCTGTGTTGTTCCTACAGCTGGGAGTGAAATAAACAGTGCAGACCACAGGACAGCCAACCAGACGCAGCAGCAGCAGTGCAGGCGTGCAACTCTTCACGCAGCCACAACAATGCGGCGTCGCCTCATCAACACAATGGTTTCAGCACATTTTCTTTTAAAGACAAAAAGGTACGCAGACCTTCCCTCTGCACCTCCAGCCCTCCCCCAAAGCCTTGGATGTTCTTGGCCTTATCTCAAACACCTCTGTCCCCCCTGCATACAATTAGCCCCTTCCCCCTCCTCCCCTCCCACTGTTGACCATTACCTGCATTAGCATAAGCACAATAGCAGCGCCCAGCAGAGGCCAGCGACCCAAAACCACCAAACCAGTCTCACAGCTCATTGCTATTCTTTTCCACTGTCTTGGTTTGATTTGCTTGTTTGCAGAGTGGCTGTCTTTTATATTTTATCTGCTTGTCTTTTGCACAAAAAGCCGTTTGTTAGCATTATTTTACACGGCGAGGCTTCTCGGTGACGCGCTGCAGGTCGGTGCAACTAAAACCAACAGTTTCATGTGTGAAGTCGCTCCTGCAGAGAATCAAATCAAGATGCAGCTGATGGAGTGGAAGATGAGACGCAGAGGTTATCGGTATCACTTCAGCCACAACAGCAGCTCAATGGGTTGGAAGGAAGGCGATTGATTCAGGAGAACTGGAGGTGTTTAACCGGCTGCCTTTCCTCTGCTGCTGCTCTGTGGTGCATCAGACAAGATAACTTGTTCAGGATGTCCTGTGTGTTGCTGAGCATCACTTCTTCAAACAATGTGAGAAACTCAGAGGAGCAAAAATGCAGAATGAACCCTGTGACCCCCAGAATCCACCAGCAAATTAAAAAAACTGAGAAAATGGCATTTTTATTGTTATTTAGAGCCATGAACAGAAAAAATCCTGATGTTTAACTTTCAGGTGGACCTTGTTCAAATCCTCTCTGATATAAATTACTGTCGGGAAAATTAACCAGAGCTCAGTTTAAAACCAGGATTTTCCATCAAAATCACGTCTTGTTTAAAATTTGCCAAAAAATAAAGTGATTCTGTACAAAGCAAAAACTTCAAATCCCCACTGGCTCACTGTGACCAACACAGATTCAGATGAACTGCAGGCAGTGTTTTCACAGCTAAGAATGAATAAAACAAACTCAGTCAATGAAATAAAGGCAGCGTGGCTTTACGATGCAGAGGGACACCCCGAAGCCACTCGAGTGCTTAACAAGCCGTGGTGTGAGCGCTAATGGAGCGACAAATGAAGCCGAGGCTCAATTGCTGATTAATCATTTATTGATACCCAGCCGAAGAGTACAGTTGGACTCATCATAATGCAAACTGCCAGTGGTAACAGCATCGAAATACAAAAGAGAATAAATACACAGAGTATAAAGGTGTGGTGGCATCTTCTCATTCAGGGGTGCTGCAGAGGTAGTTCTGCAGCACACATCTATCTGCAAACAAAAGTGGCTCATAAGGCACAGCTTTCCCAGCACTCGTGGGATTTAGGTAGTTTGACATGATAAAAAATAAACTGTCTTCATCTAGACTCAGCTTTCAAGTTTCTGTCTCATAACAGAGGCGTTCTACTGTCGATAAAAAGCAGCTTGACCAAAGTGTGCATAGGATCATACATTCAACAGTGTGATGGGAGTAGTGCAAATACAGTGGGACACAACTAGCAGTTTATATCGCTGGTTTCCAGGAAGCAGGTTAAAAAGTCTAAAACATCAGAGCACAAAGTGAATCCCTGAGAAGCACCAGAAGGGACTGGAGCCCCGTTCACATGGACGTCTGAGCAAAGTTTACTCCGAGAACTAACACTGGCGGCTCTTTACATTCAATAAAATGAAAACAATAAAAGAAAAAGACAAAGATCGACACACTAAAAATCCTCCAGATCAATATATCCGATGCAAGAAAAAGCACAAGTTTAAGCATTAACAATAAAACACAAACGAAAAGTAAAGAAAAATTTAAAAATGTTAAAAAAAGAAGACGAGTCCCTCAGTCTGAAAGTGGGGATTAAAAGAGAACTGAGGTGAAACGCTTCAAACAAAACGCCACGAAACAACAACAGCTTTGAACTGCCTTTCGCCTGCAGGGCAACATGTAAGGCTTAAACAAACCCACAGCTCTTTTTCTTTTCACACACGTGCAAATATCCAGGAGGGAGGACTGATGGAGGGGGTGGGGGGCAGAGGAAGGACACAATGCATTTAGATGCTAAGCCGACATACTTCACAGTCTTTTAGAACACAAGAACATCAAGTTAACAACATGTAGGTAGTTTGTTTTCAACAACAAGCAAGAAGGACCAAGAATCATACAAGCAGAACTTTCATTTTGGCCTTTTTTCTCTCTTTTTTTTTTTCTCCTTCCTTTACCCATGAACCAGCGACACTCCGTGGTGCAAAGCTCGCTTCCACATGTAGTACGTGGAGCGCGGAGTGAACGGGAAGTAGGACCGGAACTCTTTAAACGTGGGAAAAGATTTCTCCTCGAAGCGTTGCTGCAGGAAGAGCTTGGCCTTGGCCTTGAAGTTGGCCAGGGCCACGACATCCATGGCGAACATCTGCTCATTTATGGGTGCCTTTCTGTGGAGGGTGTGCTTTGAATGTGGGGCATCTATCGAGGGCACGCCGGAGCTTTCTACATATTTTGGGCTTTTGGCAAATGGGAGCACATCCTGAGCCTTCATCTTCATCCTCATCTCCTCGACCTTGTTTCCTGCATCTTTACTCTCCAGACTCGGGGGTTCGTTGACTTCTGCTCTCTGGACGATCACCTTCTTCTTGCGGTTCTGGCTGCTGCGCCACAGCCAGTAGAAACACGGGGACATGGACGGGAACTTGAGCTTGAACTTGGTCAGGGACCATTTGGACTTCTGGACGTGCAACTTTGCAACCTCTCTCAGCTGCTTTTTACTCATATACGCCAGCCTGAAACTTCTGTGTTTTCGCTTGCAGAGCTTCAGTCTGGGCCGACTGGCGTTGGGCAGCACTGGCGACAGACTCTTCGGGCTGTGGCTCTTGTCGGCATCTGAGCTGTCCTCGCTGCTGCCGACGCTGCCTTTGTAGCCTCTGTTAAACAGCATGGCCTCCCTTCTCCAGTTGTAGTAGGTCGATCTCGAGATTCCTGGAAAATTTCTTTTGAAGATCCTGAAGGGGAAGGAGGTGTTCATAGCGATGCAGTTCTGCAGGCAACGCTTCGCCTCCTGCATGTGTGCGACGTTCTGAGCGCGCTCCACGTCCAGCTTGCCGAGGGTGAGGCCGAACATGCTGGCCACGCTTTCATGGTGGTCTGGCTCATCCTGCTTTGCTTCAGGCGATGACCAGGCCTCCTGCTCCGTGCTCTCTCCAGGACTGGTCTCTCCAGTAGAGGAGGAGGTGGAGAAGTGTCCTCCAGACTTCAGCAGCTCGTGCTTCCAGTTGTAGTAGGACGACCTCGAGATCTCAGGAAAAAACTCCTTAAACTGGTGCAAAGGGATTAGCTTGCCCTCCAGGTAGCACGCCTGCAGGAAATACTTGGCCTCGTACCTGGCTGCGGACTTCTTGCAATGCTCCTGCGTCTGCCTCCTCCAGCGGTAGAAGGTCCTCTTGGTGATGTTGTACTTGTCCTTCAGATTCAGATAGGACAGATGCGAGTCCTGGTTCAGCAGCTGCTCCCTCTTGACCGGCGACGTCCTCTGGTTGCTGTTCGGGCTTCCAAACGTCAGGTCGCTTGTCTGGACGAGCGAGACGAAGTGCTTCGGCCTGAACAGGGACTCCGACTGCAGCTCACCGGACCACATGATGTGGATGGTCTGCTGCTCCGAGTCTTGGGGCCAGGTACGAGGGCGTATGATTCGGTTGAAGTAGGGCCTGATCTTGAGGTTGAACATGGGGTAGATGGAGTAGATGTTGAACTGGAGCACTGACGCCAGGGCGTAGAGGTGCCACATGTTGGCGTAGGAGCCGGGGAAGCAGGACGCTTTAACGTCTGCATCAAAGATGGCCTCCAGCACCGCTACAGGCAGGTTGACCATGTCTTCAGATTCTTCTGCGCAAAGACTGAAACGAACAGCTTGGAGCATCATTTTAGAATCAATCATCCCGGAGAGGTAGTATCTCTTCCACAGTAGCATCTCCACTACGGTACGCACCTGCAAGCGACAGTTATTAGATGTTCACACAAACAAACTGAAAGGAGGGAATAAACTGAGAAGATTCTGCTCACCTGTAGCTCCAAGCTGAGTCCGTTGTTGCCTACCAGCAACATGCTGACTGCATCGAACAACAAGTTGCCTTCCCCGCTGCAGTTCAGAGGCAGGAGGCCTCTGGGTGCGTCGGCTGGGTAAAGACCGTGAGCCGCCTCGTCCACGCCTGCCCACTCTGGGAAATCCTGACAGGTGGTCGTGGGGAGCTGGAAGGGGGTGAGGACCTGGTCCACCTCCAGGGCCACTCGGGTCACAGCGTCCAGGCCGGAGGTCTCGGTGGCCTCCTGGAGCTCCCCCAGGACAGACAGCACGACTTCGTTCCTCGGAATCATCGCTGAACAGAGCTGTGGGAATCCAAACATACACACTGAGCAAAAACAGATGATTCTGAGATATTTCATTATTTAAAACTGTCAGAACAAGCGGGAATAGTGCTGGGAAATGTGTTGGTGCTGTTGTTACCGGCAGGCTGGATTATGGAGATTTCTGTGGCTGATCTGCACAAACAACAATTGAATCAAAATGCTGCTCTTGCAGTTCTGACTTGGAAATAAATTAACATACTTCACCAGTTCCTAAATTAAATTCCTACATGAATTAATTCCTGCAGAGTAAAGAAAAAGTGAGTCTGCTGTGTATGAAGAGAAGCTGTAGATCAGAGGATACGTTTCCCTCACCTGGTTTGCTCATTGTGGCTGAATTTTGTGTTTTCCTCTTGATAAATGAAGACATTTCCACCATAAATTGATGAAGAGGCACAAACTGCTGCATAAAAATACCACAATGCTGCCAGTGTTTGATGCTCAAACTTGCTTTCATAGCAGCTGCATGATGTACATCAGCACTGTGCACAGCAGGAGGGCACAAGGAGGCATTGACCTTAAACAGAGCATGTTAGCATGTCGTTGTGCTGCTTGATGCAACAACAAAACTCACACGGTTCTCATTTCCTATGAATCTACAATCAAGGCCTGTGTAATGAGACATAATTCATATGATTTAAATGAGATGAAGTTTATCTGTGAGGCCCATTTTAAAGCAACCAGAGCAGACTGCAGCGCTGTACATGTTAAAGGACGGACAACCAACAAAGACATGTGCAAAAAACAAAAGACAAAAAAACAGGAAAAACGTGTAAAAATCAATCAATACACAACAGAGAAAACCAGGACTGAACAAAACAGCAACATGAAGAGCAGCCAAAGCCACAGAAACCACATCACATTTATTTAACCTTAAAGTTATGTTAAGAGGAAGGTTCATTCAAAACTTTGGAGCTGCTGCAAACACATGATCTCTGAAACCACCAGAACAGCAGCGGTTCTGAGGCCTAGAGGTCCAATAGGAGCAGAGAAGTTCTGATTGGACCCAGGTGACAACTCATGAAAAATCCCTGGTATGGAAACAGTTCATCTGCGTTTGATGTTGACCTAAAAGAGCTCGTTTGTCTTCCAACTTCTGCCAATAAACGAGGCAACGATCTGTTTTACTGTTTAAATTAGACAGAACTCTGTAGGATGAGTCCAATATGACAAACATCCAAAGGAAGGTTTACAGCAAACAGGAAAAGCTCCAACCGGCTCCTTTAAAAAAAAACAATTTCTACACAGATGTTCTCCACCACAAAATCACCCCAATCAATTCAGAAAGATTCATTCTTCACACACACACAAAAACAAACAAACAAACAATTAAACTCAACATATCTTTTCAGTGTTTCAGGTCTGTCCTCTCCACAGCGCAGGCCTCTGCCCCAGCACCGAAACTAAACCTACAGCCCTGATCTACCAATCAGCTGGTTCAACCAAAACTGACCTATCCGCTGTATTTTTATTTAAAAGCAACACCGTGACTATAAAACTTCTACATTCTTCCTGATTGCAGAACAAACCAGACCACATTCAAAGCCATTCAGAGCCGCTGCGCCATCATGTCGCCTGCTTTCTCAGGTCTCCATGTTTGATTTGCGAGTTTCTCTAATTCCAGACAGCTGATTGATGGGATTATCTCAGAGGCGGTGGTGTGTTCATCAGCTTCGACTTTACTTGCAGAAGTTAAAAGGCGCGTTTTGTAACCCGGAGACGTGAAATTACGCACAAAGCAAATTTACGCACTAATTAAAACACCACTGGAAGCGGCTGTGTTCTTACCTGAGCGTCCAGAGACACAAATGATCCTCACAGGAGTCACGTAGGCGAGTTTCTCAGCTGATTATTGATCGCGCTCTGGGAGTTTCAGTCCATCGCGTGCGAGCCGCTCCTGCAGTGATCCTGGGCCGCCGGTGCGCACGGGAGGCTTCAGAGGGTCTGATAAGAGCACCTCCCATCAGGAAATTGTCAATCGTTGGTCCTCTTCTTTTTTTTTTTTTTGTCCCTGCTCTGTGAAACACCTCCTCCTCCTCCTCCTCCTCCTCACACCGAGCCAGGGTCAATTTCAATGTGAAGTGTTAACAAAAGCCAACGTGTCAGTGGAGGGGGTCCATGAAAGAGCCCAGGCTGGAGGTGAGGAGCAGGTATCGCTGCTTTTACGTTTTTATTAACACGTTTCTGCTTTTCTTTGCCAAAGCCAACTCCAGATGCCAACAGTTCAAGGTTATATGTCAAGTACTTGTGGCTTCACAGGGAATCACTGCTCATCAATAAACGTTTTGTCAACTTTAAGCTGCATAAAAACGACATGTGTGGCTTTTATTTCTTATTAAATGTCTTAAAACTCTTCTTTGTTGCAGAAGTCTGTTGAAAGACTTGAACTTGCTCCTCTTGTGCTGACTATGAGGTGGTTTCCTATTTATCCTGCAGTCTGAGCTCAGCAGCAGGTTTGTGGCTGGTTGTGTGGACGCAGAGGAAGGCTGCTGAGCTCCTCCACTGTATCGCTTTTAACACCTCCTCTCCTGCCTTTTGCAGGATTTCAGTAATCAAGGCCTTTTGTTCCACACACGCACAACAATCCCAGCTCTGACCCCCAACCCCCCTCTGCTGCCCCAGCACAGGCCCTTCACACACCAGGGGTCGGCAGCATTTGGCCCCCGCTGGTGCGTCCGCTCCGAGGCCCCGGCAGACGAGCTGGTGCCTGAGTTCGCTGAGGTTCAAGGCTTCGACCCTCAAAGCTTATTAGCTGTTTGTGGGAGAGGGTCTGAGGGGGGAGGAGGCTTTGGTTTGTATATGTGACGCTGCAGAGGGAGACGATGCATGTCGGCACCCAGTAGGAGTGTGGCTGCTCAGCCTTTCTTGTCCTTTAGTGTTTTGTTTCTGCCAAACTCTTTGAAGCAACCTCTAGCTTAGCATAAACTTTGAAAGATGGCGCCATGTTTGTGTGAGTAAAAGTCAAACTGGTGACACGCATCTCTGCACCGAGTCGCTTTAAAGTGGCTGTTTAGTAAAATATTTAATTAAACCTGAGATTGAACGTAACTCTGTTACACAGAGTTTGCAGACATGCTCACTGCTGACTCCCAGTTCTGTGCCAACATCTATAAAACCAGCTGTGTGGTGGAAATGTGATGTCCTCTGGTTTTAAACCCTCTCCATGTCCCTCTGACATCCTCTTTACCTTCATCTTATCTTCACTCGGCTGCTTTTTGAGCAAATTGCTTATAAAAGACGTTATTTCTCATCTTTTGCATCCTGTTTTCTAAATTTGAAATCAAGAGAATCCAGAACCTGATTAGCATATCTGCTGCTTCTTAGTGCACCGAGGGCCTCTGACTTCACCAGGTATAGCCTCTCACCTCATTCATCCCCCTTCCTTGTCAGTGTTTGTGTCTTCGCCATCTCCTCCACCCCCGCAGACTCCTGGCTGTAGCCAATCACACACCTTCTTAGGTGTGTAGATTAGCTGTGCTGCACTGCACTGTGAACACAGTAGTGGGCTGGCTGAAAGCATTTAAAATGCAAATGTGGCGACACTGGGCCCGGCTCCGGCAGGCTCGTACCTGCTGTGGCCGTGTGTGTGCGCTCGCAGGAGAACGCTGAAGCCAGAAGTGACTCCACACCAGGTTTAATTTAGCGTGTTTGCGCTGGCAGGACGGATGAATGAAGGGCTGCAGCTCGGCCAAATCAAATGTTTGCGCTCCGTCACCTGCAGGAAACACTGAGCGGCCCAACAGCACCATTACAACGTACAGTACCACCAGACTGGTCGCAGAACTGAGCCAGACTGCTTTGTGGGAGTGTGTTTGTGGGTTTTCAGCAATGTTTCCTGGTTTCCTCATCAGTTAATAAAGAGATCTCAAGCGGTTTAATGTTCTCCTGCTGCAGGGTTCTGATTCTGTGCAGAGTCTCAGCTGGATTCACCCAGAGAGTCACTGACCTGATCCCACGCAGCCAAATGAAGCTAAAGTGTCTACAGCGAGTTAAAACAAATGGTTCTGATTTATTGAATTATTGAAACGTCTCCAAACAAGCAGGAGTAGATCAGGAAACGTGTCCGTGCCTCAGCTAGCAGCAGACAGATTATAGAGATTACAGCGGCTGATCCAAACACAAACAGCAAAGGAGTCAAAACGCTCTTCATGCAGTTTAAAGTATATGAACACAGTTCATTAATTCCTGCATTATATCAGTCAGTAAATTCAGAATTCAGCATTAGCTTAATTACAGTCGTTTCCTTTGTTCCTCACCTGACTGATCTTTCAGATTCACTTCATGTTAATGCAGCATCTTTATGTAGTTTTATGTTTTAGAACAAAGCAAAATCAAATCCACAAACTGTCTTTGATGTTTCTAACTAACGAAATGTTTGCACACAATCACCTGCAGCTAAACAACACCATGAAAATAAACAGCAGACTGGTTTATATGGAACATATACGGTTCTCTTTTGTGTGTTTGTGGTTTTTCAGTAGTCAGAGATCTAAACTAAAATACACCGTAATGTGCTTGTACTGCTGTTACATCATCAGATATTTTAACATTTTAAATCGGATTCTGTGCAGAGTTACAGCTGCTTTGAATTTATTAAAAGAACAATATTCAGATTGTGATGGTGGTGGTGTGGTTCTGACCTTGATGTGCAGTCAGATGGAGCTAGAAGAGGAGAAACGCAGGAGTTTCACCTGAACAGGGTGAAAACACATCATGCTTTTAAACGGAACACACGTGAAGGTGGTTTTTAGAATCATGTGAGTGTTTGAAAGCAGTGATCGCTTCAGACGTGCTGACAGAAGTTCTGCAGCCACGAAGGTGTTCCTGCAGAGAAGAGTGAGATGTGGAGGCAGGATGTCTGCAGGAGATCTTCTGTCATGTCTGAATGTGTCTGAGGAGAATATGTTATAGTGATGTCACCTCCAACCTGGACCGGCCTTCATCATCATCATCATCATCATCA